GGATCGATCAAGAAGTACGAAATGAAAACTCGTTGAAATAATTTGCGCTGAGAATTCTATATTGTACCAAAAACATAATATTAAATAAAGCTAATAATAATAATAATAATACAAAGATTTGTGAATAAAGATAACAGAGACAATTATATTTAACTACGAAAGTTCATAGGTACAATAGTAAAATTAGGTCACTCAATAGTTAAGATTACTATTGATTAATTAACCTTGAGATAGGCCAGGGAAGGAGGAATGGTTGAAAATATTTCTTCTGTACGCATAGATCCCGCTCCTTCATCCGAATGACTACTGCTTCAGCCGTTTGAAGGATTTTAAGTCTGACAAGCTTAATAATACATTTGTTTTTGTCTCACTTGGTGTCATTTACAATGATTGACGGTAATCAACGAGTTAAATATCTTATACATGGAATTCTAATATAAACTTCCTAATCGAAGTATCTACTAGTTAGTAATCATAAAATAAACATGATAACAAGTCATATAGAAACTAATTTATACAGTGATTTATCTATCATGAATAACAAATTACATGTAAACTCTCAGTAACATGAATAGTTTTCAGACTAGTTCAAATATGATATACTGAACAAAACCGGATAAATAATTTGCTGTTTCATGGTTACATAGTCAATGTATGTGAGTGGGTGATATTATAAATGAATTATTCACTTAGCCAAAATCACTACCAATGTATCCTTGTCTAGATCAGTCATGTGATTTGTTAAGGTGTTTAAGTTATGTTCATAATTATTTGTGTTTTTTAACGCTAATGATTCCTACATAGACTCAGTCTGTTTAACATGTGAAGAAATAGTCTCGAAAAGGGTTTTGTGGAGATTTTAGAAATTTCATTAGTGACCAGTGAAGTTCAATCAGTTCTGTCGTGAGATATCAGCTCACTGAAGACAATGGTGCACGGTTGCTCAATTTCGTGGATCGGTTGAAGTTAAACATTAACATCACTGGGTACCGGCTCAGTGGTCTAATGGTTAAGCACTCGTCCCGATAGATCGTGAGTTCAAATCTCGCGGGGGGCGGGATTGTGGATGAGCACTGCTGAGGAGCTTATACTAAGACGAAATGGCCGTTCAATGCTTCCAGGTTTTCCATGGTGGTCCAGCTTCAATTGACTCATGATTCCAACTATTGAAATAAATAGTATGTTAATCATTAGGAAGAATGTTTTACTAAACCGAATTGGACTGCAAAACATAATAGAATATCAATAAAATGTGGACAGTTAAAATGTTAAGTGAAATTTATATTTCAGTTAACGGAAACGGATTTTCCTAAAGCCATATATATATATATATATATATATATATATATATATATATATATATATATATATATATGGCCACACGTATATAGCCTCTGCCAGGGAAATCCTACTCACTTCCTTCTCGCGGTATTAATTTTGTTTACGAAATTCAGAGGACGAAAAGCGAATGTCGGGGGCTTTAATCGGGTTGGTGGACACGGATAGTCCATCTAGGAGAGTTGGAAAACCCTAATTCCAAACCAATGATGCACATAGGCTGGCTTCAGTACCCTAAGGGAACAAATGGCGTATGAACCAATCGTTGGTCACTGACTATCATGGGACTGCACCTCCTTACGATGCTCCACTGCTTTGTGGATCAGACGTTTAGATCAAAGGCTCCGGTTGTGGCCCCATAAGGAAACCACCTGTTTCGGTTCGGGCACCCGGGCAGTATCACAGCCCTCACACAAATCAAATGAGATTTGTGTGGCGCATATGTATCTGGTGCCCCCTTGTACCACTATATATATATGTTCAAATAAATAAATAAATAAATAATTAGACACATTAGAGAGGGTTTACATAAAGATGGTAAATTGAATGTATTTTGTAAATAATTTCTTTTTATTTATTCATATCTCTCGTAGTTTCGCTTAATTAGCACAGTTAATATAATTGACAATAGGACGTTGTTTAAATCATTGCGAAAAATCTCTTGTTCCCTATAACATGGAATGTTTAACACTGTCTATTAAATACATGTGTTTCGAATTACACACTTTGTTCCCTCTCAATCGATTGTCATAGTTTACTGAACAAGAACTATAATGGGGACAACCGGAAGTATTAAAATACAAAATTACAGAATACAATAGTAAAATCTGGGAAACATACAGTAAATATTTCATTTTCAAAATATCAATCAATCGTCTCAGATTTGACTGTTCCTTCTTTTCCACATCAATCACTCTTTGTTCTTTATCATCTTCTCTTTGATCTTCTTAACTTTCTACAAATAGATATTCTACTTTCGATTGATAATATATACTACTTATATCTGTCGATATCAATGACACAGCACAATAGTATCGTATTTCAAAAATACCTGTTGCATACTTCTCAACTAATATACTTGACAATATTCTGAGCAGTTAACTATTAGAACATACAAATATACCTAAAAACTCACTTTATGAGTGTTGCACAATTTTGAACTTACTGAACACACAATGGTTTAGCATTAACAAGTAACTCTTCATATAAATTTTCTATACTTGTTTATTCAAACCATTCGCACTAACATTATTTTTTTTCATCACAGTTTTATATTTCATTCACATAACTACTTGATGAAAGTTATTTGAATGGAAAAACTGTATTTTTCGTCTTTATATTAATTTGTTAGTGATCAAAACAACCATAGAGTCTCGTAATATAAAGATATTTAGTGAAGATCAAGAGAGGAATATTGGTTCATTCACCACTACTCAAATATTTTGTAGATAACAAGTAATTAAATGAAAGATAATGTAAACGTATACATGTATAATAATGCAACTGAAGCAGTGTGTTCTCTTTCTGTTAAATTTTTAATTGAAGTTTACATTCTGGAACATACACGAATGCTATTTAAGTAAAACCTACAGTGCATTGCATATCGAAAGCTAGCTTAAATACTATTGACTATTATTTTTAGTAATATTGCCTTACATATGTAAGGGAATAATAGTTATATTCTATGAAAATACTATATAGTTGATATACAATCCTAAGACTTTTGTTTTCTATTTGGATTTGGTTCCCCAAGAGTACAGAAATTTAACTAATTATGAAGATCAAAACGACAGAGTTTGCGGGGGACTAAACAAAATATTTCTTGTTATTATTATATATTGCTGTAGCGGTAAATAAATCCCCAAAATAAATAGCTTTGTAAGTTTTCGACATTGGATGCTGACCACAGTTTTAATGGACTCATCTAGCTGAAGGCGCTCGGTCAAGCATCCGCACCAGGTCACGTGTGGGAACGCCGTGCTCAACATCTGCCTCAATCGCTAGCCAGATTAGTTCAAACGATCCTCGATATATTGATAGCTTATCAAATATATCTTCGATCTCCTCGCTTCTGTCTTTTGATTTCACTTGGTGGGTACGTTTCATATTAGAAGGTTTTACTGGGTAAAGCGTTGTCAAACTCTGAATATCTGTGGCATCTTCAGTGCACTGACTGTTAAGTACATACTATAGTTTAATTCTTGAAGGAATATTTTCGTATATCATTTTATGTGTGGAAAATATATCGTGACATCAGGTAGCAAAAATCTAAATAGTCTTTCTTAAAGCATCAATACTTCTATTTGTCATGATGTAAAAACCTAACCTATAATATCACGCGTGAAAGTCACATCATTTTCTATCCTGATTCGTCGCATCGTAACAAACAGCATTATGATGTTCAGAGTTTCTAAAGAACAAATTTAGGCTGGAGATAGAATAATATATTTAACATGAATAAGAGATAAGGATGACCAGTCATGAAAGGCTGAGCCATACCATTCGACCAATTCAATTAATTATTTCTGCGTTCATCGTTGTTGGATTTCTCTTTGTATTAATTGGTAAATGTCTATTTTCACAGTTATCTCATATTCGGTTTTGAGGATTGTGTGGCTAGGACCTATACCACTACAAGATAACCAATATAGTGCTTGACTGTACTGATGGAATAGTTACATGGAAAAGGCTTTGATATGGTGTTATCCTAGTTCAGTTACGACGTATAAAAGCTGATCCAACAGCGGTTTGCTTTATATTAAATGAGTCAAGTAAAGCCAACAAGATTATACTACCTGGACTCCACCGTTGGGTTTCGAGAAATAACAGATTAAATCGCACATCAAGTAACCAACTCCCGAATAAGGTCCTACGTTACCTGATTATAAGTCTGTCCCATCAAGAATATTCTCGCAGCCATTGTGATAAAAACAATCTCAGTTGATGGTTTCGAAAAGAGGCTATGCAGTCACGTATTTACAGTTTACCATAGTTCACTTGTAGTTTCTGGACGTGATGTATATGCAACGAAATGTAAACCATCATTATTACCATTACTGTTATTATTGTCGTCAGACTATCAAACTCAGTTCCTTCCTTTTTATCTGTTGTTCTTACCTTCTTGTCGCATAATAATGTTTGCATTAATTATTTACTTACTGGTTTTCGACTCAGTTCTCCATATCATCCTAATTTTGTGGTTTCCATGTTGTAGTCGATGTTCTACTGATAATATGTCTGGTGGTTACATAAGCTCTGCAACTTTAGGATAAACATATCCACCCAAAGTCATGGTATCCGGATTTTCAAGTAGTTGTCAAACATATTAGGTCAAGCCCGAGTAAATAAATCAACTGCATCAAGCTCCAATGAAGACTTTTAGCTGTTACTTAGTAAGAGCAACAAGTGAGGCCAAAGAAATCACCAAGTTTGTAGTAGCTGGCCAGATAGATATTGCATATTGGATACTGCAATGGTCAGTTGTGTAACAATACTCATTTCACATGCTATTTATAGGGCTTTGAACATTCCAATGAACATAATCAAAAAAACCTTTCATCTTCGACCTATTAGTTATTGTGATATAGGGCATTATTTGTTATATGGTAGTTTTTTCCAGTCAATCTCAAGGACGATCTCTGACCCTCAATAAGCGGTTTAGATGCTTTTGATGTCGTTATTTCTCTTGTTTCTGTGATATTCATAAATACAAAGTCTTATTGTGTTATAGCATCTTAAGACTATTCGGGTATAATGCCTTTTGCTTGTTCTTCATTGGCTCTGCACAGATTTCGTGCTAATTTACAACCTTGTCTCGTTCACGTTATCACTTACGCTTTTTTCGTTAAAAGTAAACTATACTGATAACCGATTGTGACCTATATTCCAATCAAAAAACTTTGTCTATTTATAAAACATTTAACTTTGGAATCAGTGAAATAAGCGTGGAACGATAGTTTTGATCTGGATAATTTTCACATGTCAAACTACTTGTAGTCAATGAATAATGTCGTTCACATCTTAGTAGTCTATCTAATGTTGTGAGTTTTGGTCATCACACCATATGGCTTTCGTTATTGACTGATCCAAAGAGGTTAGGGTTATTCTGGAGTTTTAAATTAGGACTGAGGTTTGAGGTTAAGAGTGAATGTTAGGATGATACAAAACCATAATATATTCCCAGACCTAATCCCAACCAGCGTTTGGGAAGCTCCATATGCCCTTTGTCTACCTGACTTACTTAGAAACAATTTGTAATGCTGTAAAGGTACCTATCGGTTCAGTTATATGATGCCTACATTAATATTTGATCATTCCCACTGAATATTCCTTGTTAACATTATTCTTAAAATACAATTTATAAATGACTTATAGTAGCATATTCCCGTGTTAAGGAACTTGCACATGTGCTTACAATGATAATCAGAAAATTTTACATGTTTCGCCTACTGGTTCGTAACTAATCACAGGAACTATCGTTTGTTTTCACAGGAAAATGAATTAACATTATCTTTGTGGTGTACTTAGTGAAAACTAAGTACAGCTTGTAAGCTACCTTGCTTAAATGATGACCTTTTGATTTAGTTCCGTTGGACTATGATTAAAAACCTTATATCATGTTGTACTTTTTATTGACTAACTTAATACAATTAAACATTGTCCTAAGAAAAGGGAAACATTCTGTGTAATTCGGTGTTACATCATAACCAAGCAGATATTGCTCCTATTTTTAGATACATGTGTCGAAATATACCATTGGCTTATCCGTTTAGTGCTTGTCAAGATACCCGTTCAAAAGAATAAATTGCAGTCTGACTCCTACAAAGATAATGTCAAGGGCACATTTGCATGTATCTTAGTCTGTTATATTGTTACTTATGGTTCAATTATTTCATTGTAGTAGAGTAACTCTTACATTTGAGCAGGGAAGTTTGTCAGAATTTGAGTGGTTTAAATTTCTGTTGAAGCTTGAGTCATACACATAAAGGTATTCCAGTTTCACTTGTTTAACTCCCAAGCATTTGCAACTAGTGTTAGTTTGGTTGTTGTTTTAGTTCTTTTATACGTTAAAAACATTTTAGTACCGGTGACCTTACCCATTAATTTTTTTCCTTAAATGAGGAGCTTTTATTTCTTTCCAGATGTTCCACATTGTCCGCTCTTCAAATAGATTTGGGTTTATCTTGAGAAATGTAAGCATCAGGAGCATATCTGGAGTGGCAAATACTCTAGATGTAAGGCAAAAAATAAAAGATACACGTGAAAAGATCCTTCTTGGGGGCGGTGAAAAGCGCATAGAAGCCCAACATAAGCGTGGGAAACTTACAGCCCGTGAACGTATAGAATTACTGGCTGATGCTGGAACTTTTATCGAATATGATGCTTTCATGGAACACGATTGTCATGAATTCAATATGCAAAAGCAAAAGATCCCCTGTGATAGCGTTGTCACTGGTAGATGTCAAGTCAATGGACGTCCGGTTTATTTGTTCAGGTATGTAACAAATGGTTTACATGATAAAACTTATGCTTTGTCACTTGATAACTTTATTCATAATATTTCTAAAGGACCGTAGAGTAACGGTACAGGTTTTAATCTTTCACGTTACGCTTCACTCTTTCCCACAGGTACTACGAAATGTGTTGAGACAGTTGCAAATTCCTCATGTGCTGAATTTTTCATATGTTTTTGTCTCATCTAATACTTATACCCTTTTAATTTTTCTGCTAGTTTGGTTGATGCCTGGTACTGTATCAAAACGATACTTTAACTGTTTGTATCATTATTTATTACATAATCCGAGATTATAAGATAACTGCACGCTTGACTTCGACAACGTAAAATCTCAGAACGAGCTTCTCATTAAGCTTAACAAATTGTTATGCTTAGAGGATATTTTTAAGAATCTGTGCAACCTTACTCATTAACGCTATCAATACTAAAGTATCGGAGATTGGTAATACGTTATAAAATCTTGGTTTTGTAGCCATGCTTAATCAGTGATACGTTAATGATTTTATGAACTAGTGTTGAATTCTGATAAGTAAGTTTTATCACAGAAAAGTTACATCATTTTTGCAATAATATAAGAAATATCTTCAAACAACTTTTTCAATTTTTATAATATTCGGAAATTTTATATATGTACAGTTTGGTGCTGTATTATGTAATTTATATTAATTAATCCATCATTTGATTAGTGTTAACTTATTGCATCAGTTAAATTAATTATTCAAACCTCTCTGGTTAATTAGGTATTGATGGTTGTCTTTCAATCCTCATTTTAATTGATTCATGGTATGGTGGAATTTTCTTCAAATGGTTGCACTGTCTTTTTAACTATCCTATGTGACGTGTTTTTATATTAATAATGTTCAAACTTTTTCCAATAGTAGTTGAAAAAACAAGTAAATTTCCTTGGACATCATAAAGGATTTCTACATTAGTTTTGAAGTTGTTTCAACAAGAACTAATCATCGTTAAATTTCATGCAAACTCATACATTCATTTATTGTTTCAGCCAAGATTTCACTGTATTCGGTGGTAGCTTAAGTCTTGCTCATGCTCGAAAAATATGCAAGATTATGGACCAAGCAATGTTAGTTGGTGCACCAGTTGTTGGTTTAAATGATTCTGGTGGTGCACGTATTCAAGAAGGTGTTGCCTCTTTAGCAGGCTATGCTGAAATATTTCAGCGTAATGTAAATGCCTCTGGTGTAATTCCCCAAATATCTCTTATTCTTGGTCCATGTGCTGGTGGGGCTGTCTATTCACCTGCACTTACTGATTTCATATTTATGGTTCATGATACATCATATTTATTTATTACTGGACCAGATGTCGTAAAATCCGTTACCAATGAAGACGTTACTCAGGCGAGTACTTTTATTGATAATAAATAATGAACTGGTTAATACAATGTACTTATAATCACATATTTAATAGCTGGTTCTTTTTTTTCAAGCTTAAATGCTTATTTTTGGCCAATACTATTTACCTGGTTGTATTCTTTGTGGAAAACTGAAATCACAAACTTGTGCGTTAGTATTCAATAGATTAGTTACGTCAGATTATGATATATATATATATATATATATATGTATAAATTAATATCCTCAATAAGCATCGAACGCTTAACCAAGATTCTTGAAGAGCAAACATGAAAAAAACCGGTTTGGTATTCGATCAGGATGTGGATGTATAGATAAAATATTTGCCCTTCATAAGGTTCTGGAACATAGACATAACTACCGACTGTTAACCATAGTTGTATTTCTTGAATTTAAGTGATCTTCCGATTAGGTAAATTGTCAGATTTTATGGCAGTACCTGGCATTAAACTCAAATCCTTATGCACCATGGTTTATGAACGAACTAGTTTGGAAACATCTCGTATCTTTACATGCAATCTGTTCAGAGATATGTCTAAAAGCGTTACTACACCATGGTTGATGCCAGTTTGTGATGAAAACCATAACTCCTCTAATTAGGAACAGTGTGGAGACTCTTGGAAATTTATTTAGGTTCTTTTAAGGATTCGAGAATATAGATAAATTATACCCAGTAGGACGAATTTAAATGTTGTTATCTTTCCGAGTAACAAGCAGATTAGCCTGTAGAAGATGTTAGTATATTAATTATGTAAAATCTGTTTGGAATTTCGTAATACGATTGTCTTCTATTTCATAAACTATCCATTTATAAAACCTATCTGGAAACTCATTGAGGTTGTTTTCAGCTCGTTCATGTACTACACAGTCTCAAGAGGCTTCTGAATTAGTGGAAGTTAGCAAAAAAACGTAAAATGTACCTTGACGTAATGTATATACACCAAAAAGAAAATAGCAAATGATGTATGCTGGTGTGCTTATGGAAAAAGAATAAAGTGAATTTAGCATACTTTATTGTCCGTTTGATATTATGGAGATTGGAAGCACTTGATCGCCGTTTCGTTCTAGTATGGGACTGCTCGGCAGTGCGCATCCGCCATCTTACGTGCGGGATTCGAATCTAGAACTTCCGATTTCGCGCGAACGCTTAACATCTAAATCATTGATTCGGGATCCAACGGTGTTATTGTCTAACACTAACCAATCCATGATGTCGCGCTACCATCTATTGTTTTTGGTGTGTAACTGTATCACATTCGACACGATTGACTTCTACTGGTCACGTCCTCTCACTATAACTATCGAAATTTCTTCTTGAAGCTAGTCATTAGTGAACACATGATAATTTTCAAATTGAGGGTTCTGGGTTCTAGTCCCATGTGCGTGATAAAAGTTCTACGACTAAAGTCAGTGTACTATGTTGTTAACAGTACACAAAATCTACTTAGTGTACCCCTAGTATGACAAGCTTATTTTATTAGGTAATAAATATTCATCTTCAGTTTGTAATTACTCTCAAATAAGAGAAACGATCATTCTATGAATAAAAGGAAACACTGAGTTTATAAAAAACACGTTAATAAGTGTGGAAATCTAGAGCGAATCTTTTCTTCCATGTTAAAATGTAATTTATTTTAAAAAAAACATACAGAATAATGCATTAGACTTAGGGTTTTGGTGTTGTGTTTCGGTAAGGACTAGTAATATAATGAGTAAAGTTTCAATCAAGTGGTTTTAACTTCGAGGTCAAAGCTTTCTCTCATTATAAACTGTGAATATTTGAAAACTAGTTTTGTAGTACTACAAAAGAATTGATAAACCATAGTCAGGGAGCATCAGTTCCCTCAAGATTACAGGTACACCTTGCTGACGAGTGTTAAGTAACACAAAACCCGGGTCCAAGGTTTCCTGTAGACTACCTCCAACTACTATCTGATCTCAACATAGTGCACGCAGTGTCGAGTCACCTAGACTGGTGGCCACATTGCAACTTGGTTGATAGCATTCGATCTGCACTAAGAACTTGATACACATGACATTGATCACCACCCAGTGATCAATCAATTGTGATAGTTCTCCAGCTAGGAGAGTCATTAACATCTAAATTTTGATTAATTCTAGGTTTATCTGTATTGAAATGAAACTCTTAATGAAATTCTTTTCACCTTAAGGACTTTACTTATGAATCAGAAATTCATAGATGGCTAAATTTGAAACAAATAACAGATTGTAATTAGCCACTCGTATAATACCAAAGTTTCAATACACATAGCAAAAAAGCCAATTAGAAGACTCATAGATCCCTGTCACACTTGTTGGCCCTAAAGCATTAGAAATTCAGTATTTTATTTAGAATAATGGTTCCATATATTGTTTTTAAATGCATTAAAAGTGAAAAATAGCTATACGTTCTTCTGTTTGTTAGTGTACAGGAAATCAAAAACAACGATTATATAAATAATGAACATCTTTTGAGGTTTATCATCACCTTTGAATGTATCTGAGATGATGAGGATGAATGTTGCTCAATGGGAATTATGTGTCTAATTTTTAAAGTATTCTAAAAACAAACTTGTGGTACTCTGAATCAGTGGCAAATCATTCGTGAAGCAATACGCTGAAAGTCAATTAATCAAACTAATAATGTCCCCGAATGTAAGCGTAGTAGTCATATACATGAAGAAAACAATCATAAAGTTTTATGTCAGTCAGTTAGTCATACATAAAATAGAACGTGGAACAAATTTGTATCGGTTCAAAGTTGTCATAACACATGTACGTAACGAGAAGCCAGAGTAGTACAAGAAGTAACAGCATTATTGGTAGTAAGAAAGACCAGGCACAGACCTAACTCGGGAAAATATGAATTAGCGAAATAAAAAAACTTAAGATAACTAAGAAACTTAGGATATTAAAGAAGATAGGGTAAATAAACCTTAGCCATTTCAGACAATTCTGAGCCATGCCAACCAAAATCTTTAACCATTGGTCAAAATAATCGCTCTGATCCTAACCATGTAGTATACACTTAATTCTATGACTCAATCCAATTGTCAGTGATCTTATGGACTGATGCCACATTTAGGTTAGGCCTACGTAACACATATCATAACCATCTCAGCTGATGAATATTCACCACCTCGTCGGTCGATTTGCCATTCTTACGTAGTACCCTATGCCTAACCTTATCAGTAATGATCACTCAGTGGTCCCAGTATATACGAGCACCGTCTTGAAGATATCTATAGCCGGATACTAGTATTATTAACTTAATACCTTCTTTTTGTAGATGGCTGCATTTCACACCCACAAAGCGAACTGCTGCTCAGCAAACCCGTACTATGGTTAGACAGATATTTTGCCTGCACCAAAAAACCGAATATCATCTACAAAATAAGTTGTTCCAACTGCGAAAAATTACATTGGACAAGGTAGACACCCCTTCATCTTCGCCTGCACGAACATCAGTTAGCGTTCAAATGCCATGACATATCCTCTCTTGTGTCAATGCATGTGTTTATTCATTTGAACGCAAATATTGGTACAAAGGAGCACCGAGTACATATGCTCCACTTGATTTGTGGATATGGAGGATCCACATAGGGAAGTTGGAAAACCCTGATCCCGAACCAATGGTTCACATGGACTCTAGGATCTTGAGGGAACAAAAGGTGTATGAACCTATTGTTGGTCACTGGCTATCATGAGACTGCATCTCCTTACGTCGCTCCACTGTCTGGTGGATTAGACCTTTATGTTGAAGGCTCGGGGTGTGAACCCTAAGAAAACTACCTGCTTAGGTTTGGTCGGCGAGCGCAACTATTTCACTCCCTATCATTAGTTTAAGCGTTGGTTTAGACCACTTTAGAAGCATTTAAATAGAGAACTCATCGCAAACACTTAAATTGTTGTTCAAAATAATCTAAAGACAGTACTTTGTCAGTGTCTCCAACAAAGAGAAATATATCAACTACGTACTCTAGGTAAGCAACTAAATCAATTGATCGAAAATTGATTAGTGGAAGGTTGGATTATGAGAGCACCATCTCTTAAAGGATTTCGACAATATGGTTAAATAAACATGAAAGTGGACAACCCTGATCAACACCACAAAAATTTACCGATTATCGTAAATATTCACTATAAGTGCTCACTCAATCAATGGTGTTCGAGTACAAGGTTCACGTACTTCGTAGTGTCGGTTACTATGTTAAGCCCACATAACTTATTCTAGCTTCAAGACAAGGCAATCTATTCGTCCTTCTTAAATCACATTTTGACCTTGTCACTTTTGATTTATTTATTCTGACTGTATTTAGATGAATGTGTGTATGTGCACATCTTATCCTACTCATCACATACCCGTAGCTTATTTTTATCTGACTATAAATATTGATTAACGCTTGATAAAATCGAGTTACACTTACGTGCCTTCTTCACTGCGCGCCACTTTGTTTCGTTTCGCTCTTTCTTTGCTTCCTTCACTACGTCTCTCTGATTGTCTGTACAAGTCAACGATTGTACAAATTATACATATTCGAAATCCATTCTCGTATTTGAGTATATGTAGTATATGGACGAGCTGAAAACAACCTCAATGAGTTTCCAGATAGGTTTTATAAATGGATAGTTTATGAAATAGAAGACAATCGTATTACGAAATTTCAAACAGATTTTACATAATTAATATACTAACATCTTCTACAGGCTAATCTGCTTGTTACTCGGAAAGATAACAACATTTAAATTCGTCCTACTGGGTATAATTTATCTATATTCTCGAATCCTTAAAAGAACCTAAATAAATTTCCAAGAGTCTCCACACTGTTCCTAATTAGAGGAGTTATGGTTTTCATCACAAACTGGCATCAACCATGGTGTAGTAACGCTTTTAGACATATCTCTGAACAGATTGCATGTAAAGATACGAGATGTTTCCAAACTAGTTCGTTCATAAACCATGGCGCATCAAGGTTTAAGTTTATTCCAGTATTCAGGATTTAGGGTTAGGGGTTAAAAATACTACCTATTTATCTGTTATGTACAGTCTAGATCAGAACCAGGCATCCGGTACGTTTAATACTACCATTTATATTCAATAATGGCCAAAAATGAATATTGAATAGCTTGCAAGGGTATTTCTACTGCTCATCACTCATGATATATGAATTTCACCTAAAAACCTAAAAGTCGCATTCTTGAACCTGATGCTCTTATTCCTTATTGTATTAACTACACTATTTTCACATTCATAAACCTCTTCAGCTATAAAGTTAAAAGATTAAATAGATGATTGTGATTAACCTAATTATTTATACTTAGAAATTACATTATAATGTAAGTAAAATACTAAATAATAAACGGATTGACAGAGGTTTAGGGAATTGTTATAATTCTCTCTACGGTTATAACCCAGCTATTCCTATCGCTTAGTATTCTTGGACACAGATTCACCCGACATGTCCCCAAATCAGAACACGGTTGAATAGGAATGAGATTATATTCCAAATAACAAGGTTAGATGGAAGTAAGAAACACAATAGGAAAACCGTTAGTATATTTATAGTTCTTACATGAGAATATTTCTGGAGTATTCTCCAAGTATCGACTAGCGCTGATTGGGCAAGAATTAGCTAATCAGCGTGCACCAAAGCAATCGTGCATTGAGCATGCTTTAATCCAATCTTTGTCCCGCTAACATACTGTCTAGCTCATTACAAAATAGCTACTTAAATTGCAATAAAGTTCTATTGTGGTTAGTAGTGTGGATTCTAGAACGTGCGTTTCGTTCTGTTTGGATTTACCTGCTACATCCCATTGTTGATATTTACACTGAGACTCAAATTCAGTACCTTTCTTTTGAGACACACAACGTGTTAACCGCAGATCTACTGAGTCCACTACCAACCCACTGCATTCAGAATGCACATATGCTAATAGAGACTGATCAAATGTAGTTCATAACATCGGAAATGGGAAAATTCAAATTCATCATATACATATGTAGCGTGTTTTTTTTCAATCTTTCTTTTATTTTCAGGAAGAACTTGGTGGAGCTAAAACTCATACCACTATATCAGGTGTGGCTCATCGCGCTTTTGAAAATGATGTCGATGCACTATTATCATTGCGTAGATTCTTAACATTTCTACCTTTATCCAATAAAGAAAAACCACCAATTCAAGAATGTCATGATCCAATCGATCGATTAGTTCCTTCATTAAATACAATAGTACCTTTGGAACCGACAAGTGCTTACGATATGACAGAGATTATAAAAGTAATTTTTAAATATTTTATAACTTTTTTACAATCAGTTTTTTCTACATTTATATTTATTTTCCCTGATTTATTATGTGATTGGAAGTAGTCAGAAGGAAACTCTTGACCTATATCTCATACTAGTTGGTATTCGTTAACAAGGTGTATCTTCAATCCTATGGGTATTCATGCCTCCTGCCTGATCCGAACCGAAGTCACTTAATTTGACAGTATGAGATATCACCACTAAACTATTTAGGTCATAACTCATCTCATGCCCCCAAATGCCCTGGTACGGCCGAGAGTGGGGAGAGTCCGCTCTCCCTCTCGAAATGCTCTCACATGGCCACGCGTATGTAGCCTCTGCCAGGGAAGTCCTACTCACTGCCTTCTTGTGGCGGGGGTGTTGCTTACGAAAATGAGAGGACGAAAAGCGAATGTCCGGCGCTTTAACCCGATCCCAAACCAGTGGTGCACATGGGCTCCAGTATCCTGAAGGAACAAATGGCGTATGAACCAATCGTTGGTCACAGGCTATCATGGGACTGCATCTCCTTACGATGCTCCACTGCCTTGTGGATCAGACGTTCAAGTCGAATGCTCGGGGTGTGGCCCCCTAAGAAAACCACCTGCTTCGGTTTGGGCACCCGGGCAGTTTCACAGCCCTCACACAAATCAATTGAGATTCGTGTGGCGCATATGTATTTGGTCCCTCCTTGTACCAATATCTATGTGTTAAAATAAATAATAAATAAATAACTCATCTCTTATAAGACCAGAGTATTCGGACTAAATAGTGACCAATCTTTTGTTTGTGTATTCCTTTAGCGCTGATCAAATTCTATCGATCTTATTCCAGTATGGTCACCAGTTTTAATTAATTGACATCTCATTGAGTTAATATGAATTGATGATCATGTACTAAGCAAAACTAATTCTACTAGTTGTGTACAGACAATCAGGAAACTATTTGTTGTTATCTCAAATTTTTTTTATAAAGAGATTTAATTAACTATTATAGTTATTATAATTCAGTGAATTGATAGTTAAAACAATTAACCTCCAACTATTTCAGTTTCATTATTCAAACTTCATATTAGAAGCTTGTCTCAAAGACTAGTATTAAAACTTGTCATTGATGGTTAGTCAGTTAAAATAATTGATCAACTAATTAGTTACACTAAATACATGAATTTAATTGGTTAATGCGTTATTTAGTATTTTATTAATAGCACCGTTCAATCATGTCTAACGTTAGACAGATATCATTGATGATATTATTAAGTGATGGTTACAGCATACCTGAATTTTAAAATATAAACTTCTTTAGGTTCCAACTTAATTATTTAAAGGTATCATTTATAGCGCATCATTCACTCCAGTTTAATATCAACGAGAGATAATAAAATATAATTCTTATTTACTTTGTATACATTGATTACAAAATAGGCAATAAAAGTCGAATAGGAATTGTATTCACAGCATGTATATTTCAAACATGTTAGTATTGAAGAGTCAAGCAAACAAATGAAAGATACACCGATTGTATAAAGCATTGGAGCTCGTCAATAATCTGACTCAGAAAATAACAAAGTGATTCAGTTTTTTAGAAGTCATATAAGAAATACAGAAAGTGGATATTATCATCCATACATGTATAAATGTACAAAGTGCTCAAGATTACGCGCGAATATTTAACAAAGTTAAATATATGTTTAATCGAACAACTGGGATGATTAAACCAATTTATCTCATATCCTTTTATCCTTGATCAACAGAATAGCTGTACAAAAAAAAGAGTGAAATGACTAATTAGCCTAAAAATTAAAACTAGACCCCCTACATATTCACACTAATATACCTCAACGTCCATTTTGACTTATATCTTTTGTGGAGTTTTAGGAGCACATTTGGGGGGGGAGCGGAGGTGATATCTATCAAGTCCTTTCTTGTATTCAATAATCCTTCTACCATCAGATTTTGTTGAAAACTCACTTTACGAAAGATAATAATAATTAATTAGTTATATATATATCATATTAGTTTATGGAATTTCGCCAAATTCTATTCATGTTGTTGTGACTTTAAGTCCGGCTAGTTATCACGGAATTTATTCGCCAATCGAAACAACACCCCCGCCACGAGAAGGCAGTGGTTATATGCACGTGAACATATGAGAGCATTTAGAGATGGAGAGATGACTCTCGGCCGTACCATGGCATTTGGGGGATAAGATGGATAGTGGCTAGCAGTAGAATCCAGTTTGATGCGCGTTTCGTCCTATTTTGGACTCTTCAGCTAGATGTACCTGCGTCTCAGAGTTGATGTTCACTCTGGAACTCGAACCCAGTACCGTTCGCTTCAAACGCCATAGTGTTATCCACTTAACTACTGGGCCCTAAACTAGACATAACTTAAGAACATTAAATATATAAGTCAAAATGAAGCTTATAATAAGAGGAATATAGATATACACAATCTACTTACTGAATAACAATATTTATGTATAATATTAGTCCACTAATAGTTCTCAGCAGTTACCCATAATTTGATCTTCACTAGGATATAACACATATCATTGACAAATACATTTCTATGATTAAGATCATGAGTCAGTTGAGGCTAGAGCACCATGGGAAACCTGGAAGCACTGGACGGCCGTTTCGTCCATTTATGAGACTTCGCAGCAGTGAGCATCCACGACCTCGCCCCCTGCGAGTTTCGAACCCAGGACCTACTGGTTTCGCGCGCGAGCACTTGACCACTACACCACTGAGCCGGCATCTGACGGTGTTAATGTCTAACTCCAACTAATCCACGAAATTGAGCGACACATCCACCATTGTCTTCAGTGAGTTACTATCTCACAACAGACCTGGTCGAACTCCACTGGTCACTACTTCTCACTAGAACTCCAGGAGTATCTCTTGAAGTCAGTCACTAGTGAGCATTTGTTGATTATTGTCAGAAGGGGTTTCGTGGAGATTTTAGTAATTTCAATTATTAAGATCATGAGTCTATTGAAGCCAGACCACCATGAAATCTCGCAGGGGGCGAGGTCTTGGATGTGCACTGCTGAGGAGTCCCATAATAGTACGGAACGGCCGTCCAGTGCTTCCAGGTTTTCCATGGTGCTCTAGCTTCAACTGACTTATGATCTTAACCATTGAAAATATATTTCTCTTGAAATTTTAATTGTAATTATATGCTTTTTTTCTCTTAATTTCTCATTGTATAGGATATTATTGATGAAGGTGATTTCTTTGAAATTATGCCTACATATGCTAAAAATATTATTATAGGTTTAGCTAGATTAGGTGGACGAACTATTGGAATTGTTGCAAATCAACCAAAAGTTTCTGCTGGTTGTTTAGATATTAATGCATCAGTTAAAGGTGCACGTTTTGTTAGATTTTGTGATGCATTTAATATTCCATTAATAACATTAGTTGATGTTCCAGGTTTTTTACCTGGGATAAATCAAGAATATGGTGGTATTATTAGACATGGTGCAAAATTAATTTTTGCTTACGCTGAAGCAACTGTTCCAAAACTTACAATTGTAATTAGAAAATCATATGGTGGAGCTTATTGTGTAATGAGTTCAAAACATTTACGTGGTGATATCAATTATGCTTGGCCAACTGCTGAAGTATGTTCAATTTTATTAGTAGTTTTAAACAAATCTTATGTTGTGTATATTTTAAATGTTATAATTTTTGCTCTAAAAAATTACTATTGTTCATTAAGATTGCGTCATGAGTTTGTAGTGGTCGGATGTAGTTGTGAACTCTTCATGTGGATGTACTTGCATCGCAGAGTTGATGTATTCGCTCCGGGACTTGAATCCGATAGGATGAAACGCGCGTCCTGGATTCTACTGTTAGTCATTACCCATCTTTGCTTAAGAATTATTTAGTTTTTTTCTATGAGATGATAATACTTTAAAAAGAATTCAATCGTATTAATTATGGACCAGATAAAAATGAAATCATCTGCTCACTAGTGACTGACTTCAAGAGATACTCATGGAGTTCTAGTGAGAAGCCGTGACCAGTGGAGTTCAACCAGGTCTGTTGTGAGATATCAGCTCACTGAAGATAATGGTGACGGTTGCTCAATTTTGTGGATTAGTTGAAGTTAGACATTAACACCGTTGGGTGCCGGCTCAGTGGTCTAATGGTTAAGCGCTCGCGCGCGAGACTGATAGGTCTTGTGTTCGAATCTCTCGGGGGCGGCACGGTGGATGCGCAGTTCTGAGGAGTCCCACAATAGGACGAAACGGCCGTCCAGTGCTTCCAGGTTTTCCATGTTGGTCTAGCTTCAATTGACTCATGATCCCAACTGTTAAAAACGAAATTAATTGGACATAAAGCATATCACTAACTATATTTATCACATGAATTATGAAAATTCTACTTGAATAAGTCGATAAAAACTGTAGTGGCTGGTACTATGTCAAGCTCATATGGGTTGTTTTAACTTCTAGACAGACAGATTTATTCATTCTTCTCAAGCCACTTTTGACCTTTTTAATCATTCACTTACTAATCTTGACTGTTTTTTAAGTGATTGTCTGTGTTAATTGTTTACCCTATTCATTACGTGTCTGTAACGTATTTTTGTCTGAAAATAAATATTGAGTCACGCTTGATAAAATCAAGTTGGCTCACTCGCATTCTTTACTGTAAGTCATTTCGCCTCGTTAACCTGATTGTCTGTTCAGAGTAACGATTGTAAAGAATATATGTATTCAAAATCCATTCTCCTATTTGACTTATTTAATTCCGTTATTTACTAACGCGAGGATTGGTGACGTCTATATTCCAATAACAATCATCCTCCGATCTAATTGGAGTCAGATAAAAGGTCTCTAAAACTTAAGAATCTGTTTACCTTTAAGTGATCTTTACTCATTAATTCATTGGTTGTCTTAACTCTTAAGGTGTTAATTAATTTTGTACTATCAACGATCAACCACAGACTACTTATTACAGACAAGCATATGTGCTTGAATCATCTTACGGTATTGTTTAGCTGATTGGTTTTTTGTCAGTACAAATTATGCATATCAGTAGTAAAGATTCATGAAGATTGTTGAAAATATGATGGATCAATTTTCAAACTATTTTTACTCCGACTACCACATTATGTTACGTATTATTTTCGTTTATGCTTAACTTTCAATCAGTATGTTGAAGAATCCAACCCCAAGTCACACCTATTTTGGCTAACTTCCAGGTAGTGAACACCACAAGTTCTCATATATATATACTGCTCATTTTTGTTCATTTATTACCAGGTTGCTGTTATGGGAGCTAAAGGTGCCGTTCAAATTATCTTTCGAGGTAAAGATAATCAAAGTCAAGCTGAAGAAGATTACATCAAAGCATTTGCTAATCCATTTCCAGCAGTTAGTCGTGGTTACATTGATGATATTATCGATCCGCATTTAACACGTTTACGTTTATGTCATGATTTGGAAATATTAGAAAGAAAGAAATTAGAAAATCCTTGGAAAAAACATTCGAATATGCCACTTTGAACAGGGAGGTGGAGGGGAAGAAATAAGATTTAATCAATTTTGTCATTTTATTTCTAAGCATATATTGTTATTTCAATGCATTTCTATTTGATTTCTTTTTTTTTTCTATAAAAATGGAATATTTACGTAATAATTGAAGCTTAATTATGCTTCTTGTTTTTTTTACGAAGGATTTATATACTACTAATAATACTACTATGTTTAATGTTTAAATAAATATTTCTAAGATTATATTCACTTTATTATTTATGGGTAATTCTTTTTTATCTAGACTGTAGTATGGTTAGAAATACTCTTTCGTTCATAGTGATAATAACTAGTCAACTAGTCAGTCCTAGACAATATGGAATCTGGCTTATATGTGCATTGGATTTGGGTTTCCCCATGATATCAGCACATAATGATAAAGTTATCTAAATAAATAAACAATGTACTGAATGTATGATCAGTACCAGTAGTAATAGAAAAAGATTTGGTATGGAATGCTTTTCTGGTATGAAAAGTATGGAATAATTATAGATCTAGAGAAAAATAAGAAGTGAAAAATATTTACACTGTTAAAACCGATTCTGAACCATGTCATTCATCGTTTCCAAGTATTAGTTACCATAATATGGATGATAGAAACTAGGTAGTTTGTATTTGTCTACAAGGCTTAGTCTAATAATCAATAACTTCATGGACCAATAATAGGTGTTGGATGATAATGAGGTTTCTTAAATTTAAAGTTATGGGCTGTTATCAAGTGAAATGAAGCACGCTCTATTGAATCGAACTCAGGACCTTCAGGTTTCACAAACGAACATAATAGTGTTTGAGTCTTCGTCTAATCCTTCTTGAGGTAGCCTTCGTGCACTGAAAATTTGTATTATACAAAGAAAAGATTTTTATTGTACGGTCTCCGTTGTCCAGTTGATGTTAGTTTTTGACGTAAATTAAGTTTGTAACGAATGATCTTGAGAAACCCTTTAACTTGATAAATATTAACTGTAATGGAATTATTCTTTAATATTTTTGAGGATTTAAAAGTGCTGTTTTGTAGTATACAAGTTTAAGGGTGTAATAATTATTGGTTGGTTACATTCAATCCATAAAAGGCAAATTATCAGTTATATTTTAGATGGTGTGCAGTAGTGCTATTCAGATCATTTGTTATGTTTTAGCTGAAACTCGATGGCTACTCTACCCGTCCTCCTTTAATGTTGGTGTTTAGAATAAAACTTATTATTCATCTGCATGACCTTATCGATTACGTTACTAGTTCACGATAATGACCACTGATGACTAGAAAAATAAAACTTATGCAACACAGATGGTTTTAACGATTACTAGCTATGTGTTAAGGTTTGATTCGGTCACAACAAACGGTTTATAAAACTTTACCGACCAGCTCTGCAGAGTAAAAAACTAGCAGTGCATAGGAATCTGTATTCCCGGAGGCTTAATAATGACTTAAACGTTTCATACGTTTATACATAAGTTACTAGACTGATCTAGGTAGAGACATGTATGGGTGTGTGTGGGGGGGTGATTAGTTACTTACAATAGTGTGCTCGTACTTTCATCCCTCATGTACTATGTGACCTTGGGATGGTATATTAACTGTCCGGGATCGAAATAGCAAATAATCTCTCCCACCAGATCATTGGTACCTCATTAGGGGATTACACTAGTAGTATTTACTAAGAAAAGAGTTATCAACTAGTCTCAATTTGTAGTTGTTAAGATTCAGTCTTTTCCGTCTCTTAATTTAGACAGTCAAAATTAGCGTCGTATCATTAAAGGTTCACAAATAACTAACTGGCTGGCTAATCAAGTGAAAGTATTCAAAGGAAACCTAACCTCCAGGACTATTTTTTTTAGCTTTGAAATTAAATTAGTTTCTGGCTATCAAGGATGATAGGATCAATTCTTTTAGTCTAACAATTAATAGCTCTAACAGCAACCATGAAAATCGATAGAAAACATGTATTGCAAACGAGTACGTGACTTATGGAGTTAGACGCAGTTCACTAGTCTTATTTATGAAGGCTGATTATACAGTCGGGATTGTATTTTAAAAGAGTTTGAACTTTTAGTAATTTGGATGTAAACGTTTTAGGGTCCAAGCTATCCCCACAAAAAGTGGTTTTTTGCATATTGGTTAATAATATTATTCGATCATTAAATTCGAAGCGGATGTAGTGCAATTGAAGGCTGTACCTCAATGTCTGAAATCTTTGTACGATACTCAATAAGCTATTAATAATCTAGAATTGAATAGCAATTAACCTAGTTGATATATATATGTATACATGTAGAAGTATATATCCTTGCTTATTTGAATAGCTCTTCATTTTTATTGTGAACTTTGCATACTTGAAAACGTGATATTGTTGTGTGTACTACTGATGTCGACAAATACAATTAGTATGTATCACTAGTCAAAAGTGAAATTCCTGGAGGTAGAAGGTTATGAAGATTGAAGAGAACGAGAACAGAGAGTGATTCATATAGAAATGAAGGAACAACAATGTGTGAGACAATTGACTGTTATTTTTCAACTTAAGTATTTACTGTATGATTCTCAGATTTTACCAAGATATTCCGTAATGTTATATGAAAATACTTTTGGTTTTCCCTGCTGGTGTTCTCGTTCACTATAATATTGGTGTAAAGTTTTGTGTGCCTTTTTACTTTTACACTGTAATTACAAATCGATTAAAATGTAAAAACCATTGGATTTTACTTCACTGGAGTCATATTCGTCGAGATACTTGAAATTCCTGGCGTCAGTGCATTGTGATTAAGACAAACAAAATTCTAACATTTCATTATTTAAAAAGATGTCTTTCATTTGATATCAATTTGTAACGAGCACTTCATTTATAGTATGCAAAATTTCATCAGGAATATCAATTCCCTGAAGGTTGTAAGTATGTTCTACTGATAAGTAGAAAATAATGAGAAACTTAAATTTAAATCGTTATGTTTACTGCATACACCGCAAACTAAATCCATCAATTATCAGGATGAAGGTTCATTTAACTCAAGTAGCCTAAGGAAACAGAAAGTGGGAATAAAGGCGACATTCGTGAAAGCTTGGTATAAATAAAGGGGAAAAGTGCCAGAATGTCTGTTTTGTCTCCTACCAGGGAGATATATTGAAATTTTTCTCCTTAATGTTTTTCTGAAGGGGAATTTCTCGGAATCTACACCAAACAGTCTACCTTCTGCCTTAATTCATACCAAATAATCTACTTGTAACGGAAATAGTTTTTTTTCTGGATAAAGGTAATAGATGCTTCCCTTTCGTTTACACTATCTCTTTCATTATCCCCACGAGTTTACCTTTATTCCCCTTTTTCTTCGTCATAGAAATTTACGTTTCCATCATCATACTTCAAATTCTGAAGTTGTTTTAGAAATTTTGATCTCTAACCTGTTTACTTCTAACTTTCCTCAAGTTACACCATAAATAACTGACAGCACTCTATCCTGATGCCAGGTGGTTAATGAAAATCGTCAAGAACCTCTGAACCTAGATTTTCTAGGAGTTAGTTCACGTTAGCAAGACAGTCTATGCTATTGGAGAAAGAATAGCATCCAGCTAGTCAAGGTCTAACTCTGCATATCCTTATCTCTATCAGAAAGGCAAATATATATACCCATGATTTACTTACTGCATCATTTAACTTTCCCAATTATGGCTTCCTAGTCATTTCTCCATCTCTTCATTCCCATCATTGGTCAGGCAAGAGTATATGAAGCCTTGAGTCATTCACATTATGTACATTACAACTTAATCGATTAAATTCGATCAGTACCAAAGACCAGACAACATGATACTGTTCACTATTCAGCGTAAGTATTTTGTTCTCATAAAATGCTTTTAAGTCACTTATTTATTTTACACAAGCGTATTGTCCAATTACGTAGATAATTTTTTTTATTGATGTCATGAATAAATTGATGCTAGACCACCATCGAAAACCTGGAAGCACTGGACGGCCGCTTCGTCCTAGTATGGGACTCTTCAGCAGTGCGCACTCACCATTCCGATCGCGGAAGTCGAGCCCAGGTCGTTCGACTTGGCATACAAAGGCTTGACCTCTAGACCACTGAGCCGGTATCCAACGGTGTTAATGTCTAACTTCAACCAATTCACGAAATCACGCCACCATCGTCCATTGTCTGAGGTAAATACCTGTCTCTACCCGAGACGGGTTAGCCCCACTGGTCACGGCTTCTCACTAGAACCGCTGACGAATCCCATACTACGGCGAAACGGCCATCTAGTGCTTCCAGGTTTTCAACTGTCATCTAACACCAGTCGATTCATGATCTCAATCGGAAAAAACTTAACAATCTCCACAACCGCATACTAATACCTAGATAAGTGACTAGTTTGTTTCTATAACCTTTCAAATATTTATTTCATATCATTTATATAGGCCATTATTTTAAATACAAATAGTTTCATGTCTATGTATATTGAAATAAGAATTTTTATTCATGATCATGTATATCAATAAGATACCTGTATTCATATAAAATACTAGAGGTTGTAATTATAATGTATTTAATCTAAATGGGCTATTTAGTTCAAGCATTATTTATGGTTATTGTCATGAAAATCATTCCATGGAAAATACATAAATAGACTTATACATTGAATGATATTGTCTTTATGATTGTTCGCAGTTTAATGAATTGAATTTCGGAATGTCGTCATTATTATTATTATTATTATTATTATTATTATTATTATATAGTAGTAGTAGTAGTAGTAGTAGTAGTAGTACAGTTACTATCATTATTATTACTATTATTATTATTACTATTACTATTATTGATATTAATATTATTATTACTATTGTTAGTATTATTACTATCAGTATTATTACCATTACTATTACTATTATTAGTATCATTATTATCACTATTACTATTATTACTATTGTTAGTATTATTATTAGGTTAAGATAGAATGTTGTCCACAATAGTATTTGTATTTAGTCCTAAGAATATATGATAAAGTGTGTAAGCGAGGTAACTTAAAAATCCTTATGACTTCAAATGAATTCATATTTGTAGGATAAGTAAGTGATTGCTCGAACTGATCAGTGAGAAGGACAACAAATTCATAATTTAAAGTGAAAGATATTTGGTTCAAATGCCCCAAGGAATATTGAGTTTTCTATGCAGGTACATTTAATTGATGGGTTACAAACAGGAAAAAAAAAGTGTATCATTGATACTACTGCTTAGAAGAGTCCATGTCTTTTATACAAGTTTGAAAACCTTTCCTATTTATAAGTTTGAGCAATAGACCTATAATTCAAAGTCTACATCGTTTATCTTGATTTAGGTAGCAATTTGGAAGACTTTCTCGATCTCTCATGTTGTACGAGCATTCCATGTACCTAAATAATTGGTTGCTCTGGTTGTCGGAATGAGCATCAACCTTGTGGCTTTCGAAGGAACTCGGCTTTCATCATGAAGCGTCATAATTCTTGTAGATG